GGGAGGATAGTTGCTGATCCGGACCAGCACCCGAATTTGTCAAAGGGTTTGGATGGGTAAATAGCGTGTTCAAGTGCTTTCCAGTTGATAAGATCCTTTGATACAGAGTGGCCCACACAATATTACCCCACACAGAACCATTGGGGTTGTACTGATAGAACAGATGGTAGTATCCATTGTAATACATGGGTCCTGTATTATTTGCATTTTCAAATTAATATAAAAGATTGTAAAATACAAATATTTGGTGATTGAAATGAAATTTAAAAAAAAAGAAAAAAAAAGTTTTCACCCACCATTTGGATCTGAATGTGATTTATGCGTCAATTTCACCAATTTATGCACCATGAAAGTATTAGAAAGCAAAGTTAGCATTACTGATAATTTCGATATAACAATTTATAAACAATGAAATACAAACTTGAGAAGCAAGTTATGTCATCATGTATATTTATAAGAAAGATACTACTCTCAAAATGCTGTAAATATGGCAAGGTTAAAAAAAGTATAAAAAATTAAGAACATTACAAACCATTGATCCAGTTCCTAGGAGGTTGAAAATGATATCCAGTTCTATGTTGTTCACTCACGGAAATCGCTGAAAGAGATTGAAGATGAGGGTATATTTTATGAAACGCTTCAACACCATTATTTATCAATATCACACAAAGGGAGAAAACCACTAGGGAGATAACAACACACTTTGGGAGAACCATTAAAAAAAAAGCAATTACAAGATCAAACAAAAACAACAAGAGAAGAAGATTTGCATAAGTTGCTTCGTAGAAAACAGAAATATAAACTATGAAGAAATACAGGTTGTGGACCTATACGAGAGGCTTATATTCTATAAGGCCCAAGAAAGGGCAGTAAAAAAAAGAAACTAAAGAAAATAAAGAAAATAATTCTTGATTGACACTAATCCTAGTACGACATATAGAAAGAGGAAACTAAAGAAAATAAAAGAAAGAATCCTTGATTGACACTAATCCTAGTATGATAGCTATGGACCTAGTATCTAAATGGCAATAGAAATAGGAAACTAAACGAACTAAAAGAAAGAATCAATGTTTATTTTGACTAAAGTTTTCTTTTGGAAAAAACTAATATTATGTAACATGATATAAAAAATTTTACCCACTCACCCATTGGTTTCTGCACCAGCATTTTTTTGTTTTGTTTTTATTATATGTATGAGGACCCACATGTATTTTTGTTTGAGTATGAAAAATTGTTTAGATTATATTACATGATAGTAGCTTTACCCTTTTCTTTTTTTAAAACAAATTTAGTGAATCTAAGGGAGACTAATTGTTATGTTTTATAATATATATATATATATTTTGAAAATATTCCAATTAGTTCATTGCTTCGCAATTAATTCGATTCGGGATTAAGGCTTTAAACCCTTTCCAAAGGTGGTACTGGGGAGATTCGAACACATGTTTTAACCCTACCTGCTTAGCTCCTATGCGTCAACTGAGCTACCACCATTTGGTATAATATATTTTTTACAATCACAATTAATGTATCAATCACCAATTACAATTAATTTTGATCGCAATTATTGTACCAATCACAATTAATTTTGATTGGTACATTAATTGTGATTGGTGATTAGTACATTAATAGTGATTGGTAATTGGTAAATTAATTGCTTGTAATACGTTACAAATTTGAAAGATTTTTGTCAGAGATAAAATATGTCAAATAATGTGTCATTCCGTAGATTTCTTAAAGTTATGTGAAATAAAATAAAAAATCATCTGATTTGGATATCCAAATCAAAAGTTATAGTCTTCCGAAATGATCGGTGATTGATGATTGGTACATTGATTGTAATTGATACAATCACAAGTTAATTGCATTGGTACACTAATTGTAATGAGTGATTGATACATTAATTGTGATTGATATATTAATTATATAGCCCTTTTCCTTCATTTTTTATTTTGAATGATACATTAATTCTTATTGCCCAACGAGATTATGTCACATAATACACCAAGTTTTCTACCCTTACAACGAATTTAGCTCAGTCAGTTTTTATTGTGCAAATATATCACTTGTTATGAAATTATTGGTTACTAAATTTGCTAACACTAATAATTAACTTCAATGTGTGACAGATTGATAAAAAATAGTGTTCGGATCACAAATTGATAAAAATTTGCCAACAACATCGCAGTATGGTCACAGTTGCTCTCTTTTTTTATCCTCCCAAATTAAAAGTTGTCAACTAAGTTAAAAATGCGACATCAACGAAAAGTCAAACGTCGTTTTCATAACGTGAACGCCTCCATCCAATCCCTTTGTTGCCTCTTGATTTTCCTTATTATCGTGGAACGCAAACGCGAACGCGATGATGCGCGCATATGTTTTCACGTGCGACAGTGCGAGGATGCATTCAAAATCGAGAGTTTAGAATTAAAACACCCATGACAAATTATGTACGACCTTTGATTTTGATTTTATTCAATAAAAATGTAATTATATGTATCTTAAAAAAATAAGAATGTAATTATGTTGGTATCAAAATAAAGAATTATGATTTTATTTCGAGTTTTAATTTGGGGATACATTGAAATTTGCATTCCCTCTTGCCAAAAAAGCCAGTTAGATACAGGTTGTTATCCGCAAGAAAGACATGAACAAAAAAGCTCTTAAAAGAATTTATGATTTTTTTTTTCCTTTTTTCGACAGTGATGTCTGCCAAATTTTATTATCATATACAACACATATATTCAGTCTCAATAGGCCCAAGTTCTAACAAAACTTAAAAAAGTAAAAAAAAAAAGACTTTTCTTTTCTAAAAGATATTAATTAATTTAGATTTAAGAGCACAAATTAAAGTAATTGAATTGAATCCACTGTCACCGACCTTAATTTGGAAAAGAATGGAAAAGTTTATTTGGCAATTGGTTGTCTGATTATGAAATGGTATCTATTTTGTCTTGTGTTTTCACGACATGTGGAGTACTTGAGGCCTTGTGCTTTGCAGCTGGCATCTATATATTCACACAAAGGCTTACAAAGCAACTTTTTACAAGATTCCACTCCACAAGGCATAAAATATTAGAAGCGCATCTTCTCACGTGAAAAAGTAATTACATGATCATGTTATTTAATTGTAATTATTTATAGATGATGAAATAAGAGAGAAAAATATATATAATTTTTAAATGAGTGATTGTAATCAAATAACATGATCACATGGCTACTTTTTTACATGAGAAAATTCCCTTCCTAATATATTACACATAAAGACAGGGTTGCTGAGCTCCCAAGAGATTGCTTGGTGCAGGGATCAAACCCTGCCTCAAGCAGTTTCTTGGAAAATCTTTGGGGGCCAGAGGATAAGTCAAAAATCTTCGGTGAGGGATTAGTCTCGTCCTTTCTCCGGTTGCGAAGCTTAGTGCACTCACTGTTACAATGAGGGGCTAGCCCAAACAGGCCATACCCCGAGAACATGGTGCCCGGAGAAGGTTGAATGAGAATACCTCCTGGCAATGTACTAGAAAAAAAAAAAAAAGACGGCGTTGATGTGATATTTTGGTGGACTAGGTTAGATTATATTTTGATTTTAATATATTATGTTTATCTGTTGAATATTTTGAATTTGGTTTCGCCAATCAACTTCATTTAATATAAATTATAGGTTCGCTTTGCTATCTTTAAAAAATAAAATGCACGATTTGACTTTTTTTTTATACATCGATTTGATTTATTTAAGCTTATTATTTCATCTATATCAATATTATTTTATTTTTTATAATTATTTAAATAATAACTATATTTTATTGTTTAAAATAAATATTATAAGATAGATTAAGTTTTTTAAAAGTAGGCCTATAATTTATTTTTAAAATAATTTTTTCTTATTTAAATTTATTTTATTTTATTAAATCTATTAGTCAGATTAATTATAACGTAGACTAGATACTAGATAGTACATTTTAATAAGCCACCTGACCTACCTTATTTACACACTAGAGAGAAATTAGATGTTGGTCATAATTCTGAAAACAATAATAATGACATATATTGTTTTGGGAAAAATAAATAAATTATGAGATACATTCTCAAAGAGTAATTTATAATTTAGTATATAATGATAAATTATAAAAGTTTATAATATAAGTCTATCAAAAACATCATTTTCAGAAATTACTTTTCTTAAAAACAACTTATTGGAATAACATATTAAAAAATTAGCATATTACAATTACTTATGTAAATAATCATAATTATAGCATTGAAATTTTTTAAACAAAACCACAGTACACTAAAGTTTTAAAGAGTTTGGTTATATTTAAACCAATTTTTATATATATATTATTACTTTTTTTTTTAAAATGAAAATTTCAGATAAGGAAAAGATCGATCTGCCCCTTGCAAGCCCATTGAAAGCTATCAACTTCAGTGAGGGAAAACTTAAGAGAAAACCTAAGAATCGTACCCAATCTATAGACTAGCGTGGGGCACAAGGCCTAGTTATTACTTTTTACTATCATATCTACATTACTATTGAATGAGTCATTACGAAGATATACAAGAGATAGAAAAAGTTAATGGAAGTCAAGCAGAATATTATTCCCTTGCAATTATATATATATACGGGGATGGGGTGGGGATGCAAATTATTATGCTCCTTTAATTATACTTATGTTACTTTGGACGTCAAATATATATTAAAAAGAGAAATCATACACGGCCACATTAATCTACGTACACAGGACGTACGTACGTGCAAGATGGCCATCAATGAAATACATTATTCAAAGAACATATATATATAGATAGGACAGCAACTTAAATGTTTAACTCTGCTCCAAATGTACCCTGAGTACTTTATTCCACGTTGAATACTAGAACCTGAAAATAAAATAAAAAAGTTTTCAATTAATACTTTTAACATTTATATACCTTCAAATCAAACAGATATTAATTTACAATTTCTATATATGATTATTAACTTACATGACTTAATTATATCATGGTTACTTGTTGTGGTACGGTGGTGGAGAAGGGGATGGAGGTGGTGGTGAAATGTAGGGGTATGGTGGTGGTGAATAAGGGGATGGAGGTGGTGGTGAATAAGGGGATGGTGGTGGTGGTGGTGAAATGTAGGGGTATGGTGGTGGTGAAGGAGATGAGGATGGTGGTGGTGAATAAGGGGATGGTGGTGGTGGTGGTGAAATGTAGGGGTATGGTAGTGGTGAAGGAGATGAGGATGGTGGTGGTGAAATGTAGGGGTATGGTGATGGTGGTCTTGACTTTTCACATTCTTCATATGGCTCATTCTTTGCATAAGCAAATGGCTTAGCCTCAAGCACAACTTCATAGTTGTCATGGTATATCACCTTCAAATCTGTTCCCTCGCCGAGTTTGGTGGGTTTGTTACAGGAAGATTCCTTAGGAGGAGCATGGAGCTTGGCCTCGCACACTGTAGGTCCATATTTTAAGTAGTCAAAGTCTTCAACCTTGATGATGTACTGTCCATTGCTCTTAGTTTTGCCATAAGCCTTTATTGTTTTCCCCTCTGCTTTACATGCCACTTCGACCGTGGCACCTGTCTCTCATATATAATACATTAATAATTGCATACATAATCTTATATATATATATACACACACACACACACACACACGAAGGGGAAGCTGACATCTCCATATAAACTCCAAAGCATTGGAAAAGAAAAAGTGAAGTTAAATATATGTAGTACTTGAAAACTAACACTTTTGAACCAGAAACTATGTTCGTAAAGGGATCATATATGAATGAAATAATAAAGAAATAAAAGTAATGTACGTACCTAATAGGGGTTTCTTGTTATGGGAATTTTCAAAGCCGAACTTCCAGTCATAACATCTGTAGCAATAGACTTTACCCACCACCCTCACGATCAATCGGTGGGGAGATGGAGGAGGAGGAGGAGGAGATGTTATAGGAGGTGGTGGTGGTGAAGGAGATGGTGGTGGAGGAGATGTTATAGGTGGTGGTGAAGGAGATGCTGGTGGAGGAGAGTTGTAATAATATGAATTAGATTTTGGAGGAGATACTGACATGTACTCATAAGGTGGTGGTGATGGATCAGGAGTATGGTAAGGGTCATAAGCAGCCACGGATCCCACATTGAATGAAATCAGAACAATGGCCAATGCTATTGCCTTAAGACTAACCCTTTTGGAGATCATGACTACCATTCTAGAGGGAATAAGTTAGCCACCTGCAGCCAATGTGTATGTGTATGGATAATTTGGATGATAAGAGAGAACAACTGCACACTACTTATAGAGGGAGGCCTCAGTGTAAACGGGAGCTTTCATGTTCAAAATATTCAATTAATTCATTTCATTTTAATTTTAATGCTTCCTATGAAGCTTCCCCATTTGGTCTTGTGACTTTATTAAGCACTGTATCTTTTGTTACTTTTTTTGGTTTATTTTCACCAAATGGCTCCCTTTCAGGTACTGATCATTCCAATATAAATTAGCATCTCTATCTCTACTCTATGGTAGATATAGTGATATATATATGGTAATAAAACAAGGAGGAAAGATATTCTTACTACTAAATTTTTTTACTACTAATTTATTACTATCTAATCACTATTGAATCAAAGAGAGAGAATGCTAAATTTTTTTTGAAAAAAGAGAAAATGTTGATCCAATGGTGATTAGATAGGTAGTAAGTTAGTAGCAAAAGATTTTGGTAGTAAGAATATTCCTCCTCTAAAACATATTACAAAAATATAATATAAATTTATTAAAGAATCATTAATTACGAGTCTGAGCTTTTGAATTGAATTGATTATTTTATATGGTATCATGTGATATCAAGCCTCCGTAATCACAAGGTAACAAGTTCGATCTTCACTTTCTAATAAGATTAAGTCATTAAGGTCGAATGAAAGAAATAAATCTAAGTAATATACATGCTTCAAACTCAAAGAACAATTGCACGAAGCAGTGGCGGACCCAGGAATTTTTCCTGTGAGGTGTTAAAAATTAAACATTTGTTTCTCTCTTCAAACATAATATATGGGAGGCCAAAATACGAATAATTAAATATTTGTGCCTGTTTGAATCCTCTCTTTTTTTTAAGCTAGAAGTTACTTGTAAGCATAAGCTAGGTCAAACAGGTTTTGAGAAAAAGTTCTTATAATGAAAAACTATTTTTTTTATAGTGAAGAAAAATGCCAAAAGCTAAAAGTTCTTGGGAGGAGATTTTTTTTAAGCTCTTATCCGTTTATCTTGAATTATGTGTTTTTTTAAATGAAGAGTTATAAAAATAGATAGAGAGATAATTTTCTTGAAATATGTGCTTTTAAGTAACTTTTAAACTTTTTTTTTTTTGTAATTACCAAACAACTTTTAACTTTTTTTTAAGTTCTTTTTTTAGCTTTAGTTTATAAGTAGCTTCTAACTTAAAAATAAGAGGATCCAAACAGGCTCTTAGGGTAATTTGTAAAAAAAAATTTGTAGACAGATATTTTCCCATAATCTAATACTAATTCCATATGCTAACTGTTACCACCAGTTCTGCGCCAACAAACAAGCGCCACGCAGCTAAAAGAATTTGAACTGCACTATTTCTTATTGTTTTTTTGTTTTGTTCATTTCGTTAACTTTCGTTAAGGGAGAAAAAATGCATTCAGAGTTAGAGGAGTTTCAATAGATATAGAACCTGAGAATATAAAGAAGCTCTATAAATTTTTGTAAATTCTGCGTGGGAGAAAACTACTTCACATTAATGGAGAAGAAAAATGGATGTTTATTGCATTATACCTATGTTAATTTTTTTTTTCTTCAAATTTTGAGGGGGGCGGCCGCTAACCCTAGCCCCTCTTTCGGTCCGCCCTTGGCGCGAAGGGGTGTGTTAGAGAGATATAATATATAAATTATTAATGAATCTTTACTTAACGATTTAACTTTAAATTGATTCTTTATATGGTATCGGTATCAAAGTCCTTTGTGACTAAGGGTCACTACTCACTAATTTGTTCCTTATGCCCCACTAAAAAAAATTATTTGGAAAGAGTTATTTTGAAAAATGACTCTCAAAACAGTAATTATATTTTAGTTTTAAAAACTAAAAATGCAGAACAACCTAGGGATGCTCTCAATTTTTTTTTTGCAATAACAATTTTATAAATATGAGATTTCATTAATAATAAATTTGTAAATAGTTATAAATTTTTTTATAACTTTAAATCGAACTATATTAAAATAAATTTTATTATTTTTTTACTCTCAAAATGAAATTTTAAAATTTATATTCAAAGTAATTTTTGAAGAAAAAAAATATTTGAACAAACCCAATACTTTTCTTTTTTTCATTTATCCTGGCTCCCTGCTCAGTGTCCTCTCTTTACTAAAACTTCATATTGTTCTTTTCGTCATTTTCTTTTCCCTTTTTATTTATTTTCTCTTGTCTTTGTTTGGATGGAAGGGAAAGTCAAAAGTGTATTTTGCGTCATGGATCAGTCATGATTTAATTTGTTCTGGTCATATATTTTAAATTGAAAGTAAATTATTTGAAATTTTTAGACATTTTTTTTTTTAAATATTCGTTCATCACTTCACGACTATTCTGATTCGAGACGAGTTGAGGATTATTTTTTTTTTACACATATTATTAATACACTTTAGTTGCATTAGAATAATATATTCTTACCACTATTTTGATTATAAGAAAAAAAAAGATTTGTTTGTGCAATATACGTATGAAAATATTAATTGTTTTAATATTTAACCTAAACACTGAAATTTATTACATTTCTCTCATAAAAGCAACTTAACTTTAAGTGTATGAAATATTAATTGTTTTATATATTTAACCTAAACACTGAAATTCATTAAATTTCTCTCATAAATGCAACTTAACTTTAAGTGTATGAAATATTAATTTGTTTTATATATTTACCCTAAACACTGAAGTTCATTAAATTTCTCTCATAAATGCAACTTAACTTTAACTGACTTTACAATTAAAATTTGCATATCACCCATGTGCGGCTAGCTACTATTACCAGTGTTATTAAACCTGGACTGACCTGGTCGGGTCGATCCAGAAACCGGTAAATCGGTCATCTAACTGATCTGATTGAAGCAACAGATCGACCATGCATCAGAACCGGTGCGACCCGATCAGTTTTCATAAAAATCGATGACCCGGCCCGGTCCTAAAAAAAAAAAAAATTCCAAAATTTTGTTTTTTCAAAAAAAATCATAATGGATATATTTGAATATTTTTTTGCTTATTGACTTACATAAGTTATGTACCTACAAAACTAATATTATCTCAATTATGTACTATGCAGAAAATTTTGAATTAATTTATAGTTAGAGATGTCATTTTCTGAACCTAAAGTCCCGTATCACGATCATTATATTTTTGTTTGATCTTTTATTTGATAATAAAATGTGATTTGTTACTTTTTACTTTAAAATATTTGAAATTTTTATTATTTTTTTAGATATTTGAGTATGTTTGTAATTTTTTAATATAAATTATAAAATTGCATATAATTACCGGGTCATGCGATTGAACCAGTGACTCACTGATTGAACCAGTGACCCAGTACCTCGACTGGATAAATGATGGGGCCGGTTTTAATAAGATACTATTACCATGTTCTAATTAAGAACCTCCTTGGTGCCTTTCTCTCTATCCTCTTTTCCTCTTTTTCATTGTTAGCTGCAGTTAATGCCGTGTTTCATCAAATATGCGAAAATCACTGTTTAAGGGAAAATATACCCTCATTGGATCAGTATATATTTGATTTGGGTTAATGTTTTGTAGTTGCATAATGAAATACGATGGTCATATATAGATGGTGGCGGTATAAGAGATAAATAGAAAGAGAGAAGAATAGAAGTAAAATCAGAGAAAGTCAAAGTAAGACTTTTCCTTTTAGAGGAGCTAATTATGTTGGTCATTTAGAGGACCACTCTATCTACCTTTTTTTGTTACAAAATTCTCAGATTTAGGTGTAGTGGTACAGTTTATTATAATGATGAAGACTTGAAATAACCCACTCGATCTGTAGTAAATAGCATATATGATCAGAATTTGCTAGGCATAAAACTTTGAAATTTATCATAGAATTCATATTTCACTTGAGAAAATAAGATAATTCGTCTTGAATATGGTAGGCATTTTTTACATACAATACAGCTTTTTTTTTTTTTTTTTTTTTTTTTTTGATAACAACAATACAGCTTTAGAAAGTATTGGAGCCAGGGCAGTAATTGAATTGCGCTTTAAAAAGAAATAAAAGGTTGGAGTCCCAAAAATTCATACTTAAAAGAGTGGAAAATACTTAGAAAAAAGATAAAAATAAATTAAGTTGCCTCAGTTTGGTAGGGGCGTGTCATAAATAAGGGAAACTATTGAATTGACTAGATTATAATTTTTTAGAGTGAAATAAAGTGCATATAATTAAAAATACTTGACGAAAAATGAATAATTTAGAATTTTATAAATTATAAATATCAGTAATTAATTCTTTTAGTGTTTTAGATTCATTTTTTTTAATTAATATGGTTTTGATCACATTACTTTACCTTTTGAAGTGCACTCTTCAATTTAAAATATCTAAATCTGAATTACTTCATTATTACTTATAAGGATGCTCTCCGTTTTAATACTAAAACTACAGTTACATCTCTTCTTCACGTTTGCACTTTTGAAATGCTTAAGTATTTGCTCTCACTTATTATCAAAATTAAAGAATAAATAAAAAGCTGTCACTACTCATTAGAAGTACTAATGCAGATAATGTTTATGAAGGATAAGATTCAAAAACAATAGCATTAAGTGAACTTCTATTATAAATTGTTCTTGCATTCTTTGAGTCACATGGTAGTTCGCACTCTCAATTAAACAACATTTTATGACTAGCTAATATAATGATATGAAAAATTTATAAAAATGAATCAATTTTAAAAATTGCAAAAATGAACTGATTATATTTACGGCACGAAATTTTCAAATATTATTTAGGTCATAAAGTTTATCTAAAAAAAGTAAAGCCATATTCAATGCAATCAGTAAATAAGCAAATGAACAAGATTACCAAAAAAGATAGAGTAAATGAACAAAAGACGTAAACAAATAAACAAAGGGAAAAACTAATATTATGTAACATGATATAAAAAATTTTACCCACTCACCCATTGGTTTCCGCATTAACTTTTTTTATTTTTTATTTTTATTATATGTATGGGATTCACATTCATCTTTGTTTGAGTAGGAAAAATTGGTTAGATTATATTACATGATAGTAACTTTACCCATAAACAAATGGAGATAAATCCTCAATGTAGGACCATCCATTTAGTATTTGGATAGGATTTTTCACTTCGGTGCCTAAGGGAGAAAAAATGCTTTTGTGTTTTTATTCCATTCATTAATTGTATTTCTACATAAGATGTATGAATGAGGGAGAGCAAAGCAAACACATGATTTGATTTCGAATCTCTATTCATTATTATACAGCTAGCCATGCTAGGGCTGCTGTGCATTTAAGATGTGATGGTGATTTTTTGAGAGGGAATTTAAAGGTGGTAAATCAGGATTATTCAGGAAATACTTGAGCTATTATCAAAATTGGCAATAGTGATGGCATGATGACAAGGACACTGATGATCCGTTTTATTCTCAAATTTTACTCAGAATTAGCACTTCCACTCACCGTCGAACACTAGTTGACCATTTTATGTCGTATTCAACACGTAAAGATAAATTACCTTGTAGGAATTACATAGAAACACGTACTTACGTATACACTCTTTTCCCATATTTTTTCGCAAGGTATTAAATAATAGGAAAAAATATTTTTTGAATCACTGTGTTGAGTTATATAGTCCCACATTGGTTGTATGTGCAACTAATGTGGAGTTTATAAGGCCTTGTGCACTCCCACCTTTGGAGCTAGCTTTTAGGGTGTGTATCTCAAGGTTCTTTACATGGTATCAGAGTCTCGCCCCCCACTTTCTTATGTGGCGTTTCTTAGCACAGGTAGGCTGGACTTGTTGCATTGTCCACTCTTCAAGCCCAATGGGCTCTCGTGTGAGGGGGCGTGTTGAGTTATATAGTCCCACATTAGTTGTATGTGCAACTAATGTGGAGTTTATAAGGCCTTGGGCACTCCCACCCTTTGAGCTAGCTTTTGGGGTGGTGTATCCCAAGGTTCTTTACACACTGAAAATAAAGTTATCTCTAATGAACTCAAAATGATGTCATTTTGGATTTATAGGATTAAAAAATTATAATGATAAAGACTAATATAACCCTGCAATATATTACAATTATAAAAATACCTTAATTTCCGTTCCAAAACAACATCTTTTTGAGCTCATCGGAAATAACTCATCTTCACTTTACCCTAAATAATATCATGAAATCGCTTATTATTATTATTATTTTAAATGGATCAAGTTGTGTATATGCTTCACAATTTCAAATAATTATGCAATTATCCTTTTCCATTAGATAATATTAGTACTAACTAGAATCTTCCGTCACTTTGTGTCACATTCTCAATATACATCATAAATGATGGATTTGGACTATTTCACTTTTATATCTTTCAACATACTAACTATTTATCGTATCTTGAAGTATGAAACAAACATTCATAAAGCTATATTGTTCACGAACCTTTGATTTATATTTGAAAAAAAGCCCTAATATCTTTTCACTAATTATTGTACATTTTTTACGCAATTCTATCTAGTTCTACCACTAACGTGCATAAAAAATTATTAAGTTTTCATAGATGGAAAATTTGGTTAATATTTCCAAGCACAAAACTGAGTTCTTCAATTGAAAAAATAGAGAGAACAAAGTTTTTTTAATTTTTTTTGGAATAAATACTTACACCATTATTACTGTTAATATTTTTTCGTGGAAGTCTCATTTGGCACTAGCACTTATCCTAAAATAGCATTGCTATTTTCATTTGATATCTTGTATCGTTTGAATCACCAATCGATTTTATTTTATTTATTTTATTTTTTAAAAGTTGTGGCATCATGAGAATAAAATGGCTCCATTCACGAAAACTTAAAAAGACTTACAAACCCAAGCCATTTCATTATATCTTCATTTCTTTTTAGTAGCATATATCTTCATTTCTTTGTCAGTATTAAAAGTTTAATTCCATAAAACAAATAGCCTGTGAATCTTTACAAACCAAAAGTATACAAACAATAAGAGTTTCAACATCCTGGTGAGGTCTCGAAAAGCCACATACTAGGAAGCAATCAGTCAAATTCCCTTCTGCCACGATCAAGGAGCTGCAAAATAGTAGAAATGAGTGTTTAGCTCTGTACAAGTCATCATATATGTTTGTAGTGAAGTTAATTATGCTATACACACACACACACACAGAGAGAGAGAGAGAGGAGAACGGTAAGTAGTTAGAAAATCCCAGAACAAGAAAGTCAATTATTTCAATTTGATCAAATGAAGTTCCTTAAGTTTTAACATCTTCACTATATCATCTGCCATCACACGTCAGAATATGTGAACATGAGACCAAGGGTTTTTGTTTTTATATTATTTGATTTTACAAGGTTTCCCTGCATTCTTTGGATGGGAGACTAATCCTTGTTTGGAATACTGATGCGGCCCTTCCTCACAAATGCTTGGTTCAGTTTCTTGCAAGCTTGAATCCCTGACATTGTAGAAGTTCCTCAACTGCTAATCTCATCCTTGCTTTTTACTTGAGCCATCCCTTGTAGGTGGCTACTAGGAGACTGATAATCAGGACTGAAAATTTTATTATATTAACACCAGATTTCACTCACTGCTACTGATATAGACAGATACCAATATCAGAAGCCATGGATTTACAGTGTAGCTCCCAAATAGATATAAACATTAAAGGAGAAAGATAGAAATGCAGGCTTTACGGGGGTCCTGCTTCCTCCCTGCTCAAAGGCCCAAAACTCTCACTCAATTTCTGCCTAACCCTCTCCACTCCTTCTTTCCCTTTTATCTTGTTCCCTGTCCCACCTGCCATGTGAGCAGGTCATTGCAAACCTTAATGATATAGCCCGGAAAAAAATTTATACATTAAATTTCTCTCCACATTGAATTAAATAAAATGAAATGGAGTGTGAACGGATGTAGGTACATTTATAGGACCAATGTCATTCCATTGTTTATACAAAATAGTAGATACACGCATACTATTTTCATTCATAATATGAATGCTTCCAGGAAATCTTGCAAATGATTTTCACATTAAAAAAACTTACGAGAAATAAACTGTATAATCCATCCAACAATAGGGATATGGTAGAGAAACACTTTGACAGATGACCAAAAACCACTGCAACCAAAAGCATCAATGATAAGCATAGAATTATAAATTTTGTAGTCTTGTAGTGCTCAAGAAAGAAAGAAGCCATCAACTAACCTGAAGAGAAAAACACAACCGTATATTTCAAGTATTATACCAACTATTGGCCACCTCACAAAAATGAAAAAAAGGCCTAGAAGAAATGATGCAGTACCCTGCAAAAGAGGCAAAGTAATGCTATTTATCTCCATATAGAATGCTTGATTGATCATTCATAAAGAATTTAGAAAATTTATATCAACGTGGATAAAGACAGTAAACTGTAAAGAATTAAGGATAAGATACGATGTAGTAGTAAAAGAACAAAGAACAAAAGAGTCAACAGACAACGGGCATCCCCAAACGGCTCTCCTCTCCATTCGAATAAGATATCTGTCAGGCTTAAAGCTCCATTATAGATAGAAATGCAGGAAGTCTGAATCAAATAACTGTGCTGCTACTCTTAAAACAAAATGTATCATATGTTACGCTTAATTGGAATAAGGATGAGCTTGGAGTGGTGCTAAAGCTGCTCTTTTGTGATTGTACGATCACGGGTTCAAATTTAGGAAATAAGCTCTTTGCAAAAATGTAAAAGTAAGGATGCATATAAAGATTTTGATCAAACCTACCCTCGGAAGTCGGTTTTCATGGGGAGTGGCTTTTTATGCTTCATTGGAAGTCAGCAAAAACAATGCTTGAATTAATCAGTTCTAGTCCTTGAAGTAAAACTTATTACTGACTTAAACCTTAATAGATCCTGATTTTAACAGGAATTTTTGGTTTATAAAGACAATTGATACCAGGAAGCAAACTCTAACAGAAAAGTGGAAAAGTAGGAGTTATTAAGGGGGGGAAGCCAATTTCTTTGTTCCAAACTATCATTGAAATCAGCAGAATGAAAAAAGTATCATGTAAAAAAATTGTCAACAGCCTCTCAACCAATGAGGCATCAGTAAAATGGAAATTCTAAGTGTTATGTCAAAAATAAAATTGAGTTATTTCATATATTACAACTAGCACCACATGCACTTTCCTTGGAGTGCTGGACAGTTCCTCAATTAGATTTTGAATTTGATGACAGATATTTCCCACTGTGCTTGACACTGGTATTTTTTCCAAAATAAGGGTGGTTGGGAGAATTTATGCAGTGTGGTTATGATAGGATCCAACAATTGATAAAAGAAAACAGAAGTCGAATATGGTCGGTTGTATTAATGAAAGCTGATCTAAAATTAAATCAGCTATGGAAGCTTACAAAAGGTATAATGAAAGCAAAGAAAAAATACAGAAAGTAACATAGACTCAGAGCAATTCGAGAGGCTCTGAAATCTCTCCCAAGTTTAGTCCCAAATTCCCAAGATGCCTTTACAATGATTCTGATACAATTCCCATCAAGAAATATAAAAGAGATAGCAATAGAAGAGTGTGGACTCAGGCCCAAACAGCCCAATTGAATACAGCACCGAAAGAGGACACGCAAGGATTGCCACGTCAGATAAGGGATTCCCAAAATACCCCTTAACAGAATGGTGCACAAAGAAGGGTGGCTTGGAAGCCGTTATAAGCAGAGGATGGAAGCATGGATGGGTATCGGATAAGAATTGATTGGGCCCTTTGGGGATTGGGAGAGAGTGAAGCCTCTCATATGTGCTTCACACTATCTTTATTTTCTTGCTTGTTAATTCTCAGTTATTGTAATCCTTTAATTTCCTGCCATGATCACTGTAGATTGCTTGTTTCAAAGCTTCTGTAATTTGTCTTGATCAATATATAAGGAAACTGAAGCTATTCAGATCAAATTGTTGTTCCTGTTCGTTGTTCGTATTATTAGCATTTTGAGTAGAAGTCTTTAACAGATTCCCTATCCATTATATAGACACTTCAGCAAAATACACCCTAACTAGAAAAAGGAATATTATTCCCATAACTAACCACCTAACAGAAAGAAGGAATATTATTCACAGAACTATTTAACTAACCACCTAATGACTCAACACCATTTATTATTAGGGATGTATCAGGTTATTGAACAAAGACTTTACTAGGGTATCATTTATCAAACAAATATGAAGACAGAAAAACTAAAGATGCTTCTTGTCCTATAGATATGTTTCTACTCATTATAATTGCTTTACCAAACTATCATCCGTTAAAATTTTACACTTAAGTGACATGCAAAGCAATCTATCTAGTTTAGCAGATCCATTTGATTCAAGGAATGAGAAAATTGTTCTTTGAAGTTTGATCTAATTTAAACAATTTTGTAATGACTTAATCTCAGTTGTCGAAAATGCTAACCCGAGTATACCCCTCAGTGTATATATAACCCATGAAAACAATTTTATAATATCTGACTGACATTCTACTAGCATTTACTAATCACTATCACAAGAGAGGGTTAGGGAGAGAAAAAAATGTTTTTTTTTATTAATCAGCTGAAAAATTCACAGTGACTATACCTTAAAATTTGCTCTATTAGTGAAGAGTGCCCACATGGAACGCCAACCAAGCAAAATTGCCACCCCTGCCAACCAAAAAATCTGATTCCAGAATGCGAGATGCCAAAACCAAATTAGGCATGCACTACACCAACACCTCTATTCCAAAGAAAAAGGTTAATAGAATTTTAGATTGTAGAAGCAAGCCTCACATTTCCCAGAGCAAGTAAACCACGGTCAAAGAAAAGAACTATGCCAAGAAATGTGAAAAAGATACCGAAACCAATTAAGCCAATACCAATCTCTGCATGTTTATCAAAAAGACACGCAATGATGTTGAAAACAGTTAGAATAAAATAAACAGTGCAAAATATAAGTAATCAGATCATAAAAAGATGAAGCAATGCTTACTCTTTATCTCACTTATATCATAGGCCATATTGATTAGTAAAATAGCACCAGATGAAGGAAACTGCACAAAATAGAGAGAGTATTCAGATCATAAATTTAACATACATACATACATGGCCCCTAAGTCCCTAACCTAACCCATACAAACTCAAATACCATAATGCAATAACTAATAAATTGAAAATTCACCTCTTAGCTGAGTTGACTCAGAAGAAGAATGATGCTGCTTTTCAAAAACCAAGTTTCAACCTCAACGGTAGCTTGAATCTGGGTTGATGATGAAGGAACCGAAAATGACGAGAGAGAGAGAGAGAGAGAGAGAGAGAGAGAGCGTAGGTGGAATCAATGGGCCTTGCAGTTGTTACTCCAATCATCATGGGCCTCTAACTTTTGGGTTCATGGGCTCAACTGCGCAGAATAATACCAGTAAGCCCAGCAAAGTTTTCGGAGGTTGCTTTCCACATATTTTTCGAATTATGTTATTTTTGTCAACGGAGCGGTACTGCATAGAAAGAAAAAAAAATAAACAAAAGTTATTTAGATGAAGTGCGATCACAACTTAACTACATTTGGGGATAATTATTGAATTAAAAAAGAAGGTAAGAACTTATCTATCTAAAAATTAAGATGTTCACACTTTAGCACTTCATCTAAAAAATGAAATATGGTATTACTTTTTAAAAATTATAGACTAAATAATAAAAATTATAAATTTAGTAATAAAAGTATATGTATAATTTTTATTACCCAGTCTGTAACTTTTATTAATCCGTCTTTGTACACAAGAGAGGGTTAGGTTGATGTGTTGGTAAGATATTAAAAACTTGGTACGATATTAAAAATAAAATAAAATAAGAATATCGAAGTTGACCCAAAAATTAATAAACACGTTAACTTAGTTCATCAAATTAATCCTGATTGATTAATATTTTTTCTTCAATATTGAACAGTCTAATAATTATTGGGCTGAATCACATATGATTAAGCTTGCTACTGTTGAGTTGTACTTAGATTGATGTGTTGTTTTGCGAGATTTTTGATTGGGTGGTGAGATGTTTTGAAAGATGTTTGGAATGATACTAATGCTAAGGAGTAGTTGGAGGAGACTGATGGTACCTGCAAGAAACTCTGACGCTCAAGTCAGTAAATGTCCAAATATTGATGGAAAGAAGATCATATGTCTCTCTATTTATAGTTGATGAGTGTCTTGCTTATACCGCCTTAATATGACGGTGTTCATTTCTATTGATGGATGATGGTAATCTGCACGGACTATTCTCTAAACGAGATGTCTATCATCAAACTAAGTCCCTATAGACGTAGCGCCATGCACGTGCCTGTCTTCAAGCCATTGGTCTCATAAGGGTAGTGGGGCTTTGAGCAGCTAATGGCCGTGTAGCTACAATTGACTGAGCAATTGGTCCCATGTGTCAGGTGGTTGCGAGATTATATGATACACGGGATGGCCGCAATTCCTTCCTTACTAATTAAGCATTAGCCTTTGCGTCTTTCATTAGTAGGACCTATAATCCTGTATAGGAATGATATAGATCAAATGTAATTATTCTTTACTGGTTATTTTGTTTGACAAATATATTTAAGGTAGTCAAGATTTAAACAAATTACTATCAATTAGTTTGTTGAAATTCGTAGAGTTTATGCTAACAGTATAATCAACTTCCACTTTTTCTTATTTTTTGTTTCATCTTTCTCCATTGCTCGAATTTTGTCACTGATTCACACGTGCTGACTACGGTTCGTCTTCTTTCGGAAAAAAGTTTGTATGTTAACGTCTTCTTTGATGAAATTCTTGGTTTTGGCAGACAACAAACTTAATGCTCATTGCCCTATAAATATATACATACACAACTTTATCTTTATTTTTTTTAATAATCAACACGACGTTCAAAACTTGAAACCAATGCGGACTTTGTATCTATTTTCGGAGACCTAATGTAATTTTGTGTCAGCATTAGCGTTTCCTATTTCACACGTACTTTTAGAATTCTACTTAAAAGATGGGAGAGAGAGAGAGAGGAAAAGAAGAAGAGACAAACATGAAACATATATATAAGCTTGCACCTTCTCAATTTTGTAAATTATTCTTATTTTTATATGGGTTAAGGAGAAGCTACTTTTTGAACTAATAATGCTTTGCTGCCTTACAAGGGAAAGTTACTTTCAACTCCCACACAGAGCTTGACAGATGAAGCCATATGGTTAGAAGAAGAATTATGTATAGGGCTTTTTTTATTTTTATATTAGGTAAAAAAAAGTACGTAAGATTTATTAATTTTTCTTCAAGACTATAATGGTCGTCACATGCCATGCGTGCATATAACTTTTATGTCCTTTGTGAGATTAAAATCGTTTTAATAGCTATTAACAATGAGAACAAAGTTTGCTACCATTGAAATTGCATTGAGATGCTTAAGTATGCCTACATAGCTTGTAGTGACTTTAAGCTACTGATGACCATACTAAATCTGTGTTCTGTCGCGTAAAAGAGTGTCAAGTGGGTCAATTAAAATAGGTATGTCTCTATAATCTTCTTCGACCAAAGAACATAATTAAAAGCCAAAGCAAATGACAAATGTGGAAGGACATTTGAACCAGGGTCTTTTTTGTCAAAAAAAATGCATTAATTGTTTTCAAATACTATTTGCTTCCTTCTTGTTTTCGTTACGTTAGAACTTTTGAATTTGCCATATTCACATTTGACTTGGGCATGGACGGAGCAAGGGGCTAGCGCTGCCATGGAACATAAAAACTTTCCATAATATGAGATAATATATTGTTACTACCAAATAATGTTACTATCAATGTTAACAGTTCTGCCAATCAACGGTTATCATTTATTGCGAATCAATAATTAATTAATAAATTTAATTTGTAAAAATATTAACCGTTAATTGACGGAAATCAATGGTTAAAATATGATAGTAACATTGATAATAATATTATTTGGTAATAACAATATTCTACTTTGAATAATATATGGTAAAGATGAAGTGGATAGCCTTTACTATTATTCGTAATTGCATAAAATTTCCCTTTGCCAACTGATGTATACCATAATGAGTTAAGGACAATTTGGGGAATTGGTTCTCCATAATTCCTCCAGTAACAGTAATTATTGGTTCACCCCTCCATGCACCGTTTTATATCTTCATATCTCGTACAGTTGCGTTTATTACAAAGGTTCTAATCCTCTCTTGTAGATGGTCGTTATTCAGAAGTAAAGTTAATAAATCAAGAATTTCCTTAACAAATTCTTTAGTAGTGTTCCTATATAAATTTAGGGTTTTATAAGAGTTATGTTGTAGGAAAAGTGATTGTGTTATGTTATAGAGATTCGTTTTGCGTGCCGAAGTTTTTTTTTTTTTTTTTTGCTGCGGGTCCCACAAAATGTTGTGTGTGTAGGAAAATTTTTGTGGTCATGTTAAATGATAGATGATAAACCCATAAATTTATTATTCATCCACATTCTATTTTTAGTACCGTAAGGAGATATTTAGCCGAATATAATTTTATAAAAACTCTTATCATAAACGAATTTTTTTATAATAAATAAAAAAGAAAAAATTTAAAAGCTTCTGGAAGGAGATTTTTTTAATATATATGTAAGCTTTTTTTAGATTCCTAATATTTTTTGTTCAAATTATGCCCTTATTTTGAATTTATAATTACAAATTTTACTTTTTATCCTAGTAATAAATCATTCGAGCTCCTCCTTCCCTTCAAAACACTAAAAATATTACCAATGAAAGTGTTCATCCAAAAGGGAGATTTTGCATATTAGGTTGCCGTTGATTAATCTCTTGTATGCATTTTAGGTTAATTTGTATTAAACAAAAAAATCATGTGGGAAGGATTCAAAAATTCATATGTGCCAAACAATAGGCTTCTGCATTCTTTATTTTCTTTTGTTGTCTCGCTTTTTTCAAGTTATATATGATGATTAATAATAATAATAATAATAAAAATTAGATCACTGAATAGGATTATAGAAAGAAAAAAAGAATAAAGGAAGGCAGCATGTTCAAACACGGTAAATTGTCACGAGGTTAATGCATTTTATGTTGATGCTAGAAAAGTATTACAAACACAATAGTATTGTTAGAGATGAAAATGAGACACTTGTGGGGGAAAATGATGAGTATAACAAAATGTAAGGTGGCAAGTAGAAAGGACAGAGTAATGTTTGTTATTGTGATTTAATGCATCCATAAAAATCTATTAAGGTAAATAATTGCAACTTTATTCACTTGACATTGTCGCATACATACATTATTGTGTATACGTATTTTGAGTTAAATTCAAAATAAACCTATTAGATTTATGATTTACTCTATTCGGTTACAATATCTTGAGAATTCATAATTTTCCTTTTTAGCTTTTTTCCATTCTCCCACGTTACTGGATGATACTAAATTTTAATAAGGGATTATAACTGACTTTGTTATCTCTTGTCCTTTATTGATTTATGTAACCAATTTTTTAGCCATGCTAATGCTTGCTCATAATCAGTTTAATTTCTTGTTCTTAGTACAAATTAATCTTTCTGGATAAAGGTCTCTTCTAATAAGCAAGTTTTATTTATTCTTGGATCTATTTTTTCCTTTAAAAATCCTTATCTTTGAAACCTTTGTTTTTTTATTTCTTATTATATTTATGTTTATCAAAATAATAGAGGTTTCTAATATTCTTTATTGTAATTTTAATAAGAAATAGAGCTTATGAAAGTTATTTTACCAAGTAACTTTTTTTTTGATAGCTCAAGTAACTTTTTTTTAACTTAAGCTTTAAGGTAAATTTCAAACAAATTTTTTTTGGTTTAATGATTCTATTTGCTGTAGAAATTTTTTTCTGCTACACTTATATAAAAGTGAAATGATGCCACTAATTTTTTTATCTTTCTTATTTATATAGGGACTTGCTCATTTTTATGTGAGTGAAGCAGCAAAAATTTCTGGAATTAGAATAGAAATATTTTTTCCTAAAATTTTATATAAAAATAAATAATTTATAGCTTTATATTGTAAATTCTTATTTTTAACTTTAGTTTAAAAGTATTTTTTTAGTTTTAAAAAAAGTTTCGCCAAACAAGCTCTTAGCGGGGGTTTTTATTTTATTTTATGAAAAATATATGAAAATCATATATTTATTTTATTATTACTCAATCCATTTTTTTATTCTAAAGCTATTAGAGAGGGGCATTTTTCCATCCCCAAAATCTATTGCTGATCCGCGACTTTCTAGTACTGGACTGAAGATTCATTTACAAATTTTAGGTGTAAGAGC